AAAAGAATCTTCACCACTATGTATAAAGGTGCAGTAAAAAATAAATAAATAAATAAATAAAATAACCACAAAGAGATGAATAAGAACAGATCCTGGTGTAAACTAAAGCCAAAACTTGAACAGTGACAATGGAAATGTGAAGTTTGACAGCTTTTACCAGAGCTACACCGCTTCACCCTAAGGTCGAGACAGAATGCATTATGGACAGGACAAAAAGGCCATCCTCCCACTGTAAGCCGTGCAGCGAGGATTATAATTTGCCATTATCTAAGCCACTGACATGCCATTCCGTTTTCACATAGCTGCTATACCCAGATAGTACCAATGCACATATTTACCCAAACTGCAACGTTTTGAAATTAACTATATAGGTATGCAAAGCATCAATCTTCAGATTTGAAGCTTATTTGTGTCTACATGATAAGGTCCAAATTCAATTTTTTTTTTGAGGTGTTTTTTTTTTTTTTTTTTTTTTTTTTTTTTTTTTTTTTTTTTTGGGGGGCTTTTTTTTTTTTTTTTTGCTATAGGGTGACTGCGCTCGCCAGAAAGACAGAGAGAGACAGAGAGACAGAAAGCGAGAAATCACTCCCCAGGGGGGATGGCCACGCCACAATCCCTTCTCCTCCATTCTTCTCTCGGGATCTTGGGCACGTACGCACACACACCTGGCATGAGCCCAAGACACCAAGTCCGGCACTCAAACCGCAGTGGACTACATGGGAGTCCAGTGACACAGCCATTACGCCAACTGCTGGTCCCCCAAATCCAAATTTTAAAAACCAAAACCAGGGGACATTGATTCAACAAATAATTGAAGTCCCAGTCACTATTTCTGCATTTGTAAAGAAGCAACAGAAATTCTCCTGGGCAGTTAGAACTGTTTTGCATTTTCTACATGAAATGAGTGAGAAAACTTTTTTTAAAAAATTTTAATTAGTTTAACCAAAACATACTGGAAAATAGGAATAATAATAACCCCGAGAAAATACCCAATGTTTTCAAATTCAAAGTTATTATTCCCTATTTTTTTGTCATTAAATTCTATTTACTTTTTTTTTTTTTTTTGGAGAGATTTTCACTATAGGGCGCGTGCGCTCGCCAGACAGACAGAGAGAGACATAGAGACAGAAAGCAAGAAATCACCCCCCAGGGGGGATGGTCACGCCGCAATCCCTTCTCCTCCATTCTCCTCTCGGGATCTTGGGCACGCATGCACACGCGCCCGGCGTGAGTTTTAAGCCACCGGGTCCGGGACACGAACCGCGGTCGACTACGTGGGAGTCCAGTGACATAGCCATTACGCTAACTGATGGTTCCCTAAATTCTATTTACTTTCTGGGATTTCTGTGTAAGGCAACTGGCAGACCTTCACCCAAAGAAAAGCAGCAATAAAATTGGACAAAAATTTTAAAAGCAAGTATTTAAATAGGTCATAAAGTATATAAAAAAAATTCAAAAAGCTTGTATTCAAGAAAATCTACTGAATCTTGGTAAGAACAGTGGGAGCCTTTGGCATTTAAGTTAGAGGCTATTCTCCCACCCTACTCCCAGAGTCATGGTTCTAAGGTTCTAAGTCACTTAAGTTCTATTCTTGGTGGGTGGTAGAAATGGGCATGAGAAATAGTAGTGCCCCTTTCTCCCACCCCAGCTCCAAGTTGTAGAAATTTTACTCCAGGGCGGGGCAGACTGATACCTCAGGCTAGGGTAGCCTGCCAGGACAGGAACAGCCTTAGGGAACTGACGTTATTAGGACAGACCATTAAAAAAGGCCATTTTCCCGGGCCCTGTCAAAAACAATAGAGAGCCAAAAAAAAAAAAAAAAGAAAAATAGATCCCAGTGGCTAATAATCAGAAAAGACAAGTATCTCCACAATACTCAGAGGGGCAAACAGAGCATCAGACCAACGAGAAATTTAACACAACATCCATAGAAAGATACAGCCAAAGAAGCCTTGGTAAGATGACATTTATCTAAGCAGTCCAGAAGGTCATGGGCACCATGTACAAGGCTATGCCTTCTTAAGAGAAACCAGAGACAGTGTTTGAGTGTTTGTAAGCTACTGGTCCTTGGCGGAATGTGGGAGAGATTTTAAATTTTTCAAACACTGAGCCATGCCTCAAGCCACTCACAGATCAAATAGCAAAGTGTGAAATCTTTACTAGCCAAAGTGATTTAAGCCTAACTTTTGACCAAGCTCTGGTTGATCTCTAAACTATACTGGCTTAAGTGTGACCCTTAGAATTCTAGACTTGGGGCCAGCAGGTGGCATAGTTGTTAAGGACCTAGACTCCTACATGGTCAACCGCGATTCAAGTCCCAGACCTGGCGGCTTCAAACTCACGCTAGGTGCATGTGCATGCATGCCCAAAATCGTGAGAGGAGAATGGAGAAGGAATTATAGAATGGCCAGCCCACCCCCGGGCGGGGTGGTGATTTCTCACTTTCTACTTCTGTCTTCCTCTGTCTCTTCAGTGAGCACATACACCCTACAGCAAAAAAAAAAAAAAAGAATTTAAAACAAGGAAAGGAGTGACTGCTGATGGGATACTATAGGTAAAAATAGAGAAGTCATTAAATAAACAGAAAGTAGTAGCAATAAGCCCTACGAGGAAGAGGAAACAAAAATTCAGAGCTGTGGGCCAACCCTATAACCTAGGAATTAGGGAGCCAAATTCCATACGGCCTGCCATGATTTGAATCCCAGCTCTAGTGGCTTGAAAAACATGCCAGGTGCATAAAAACAATGCCAGGTGCATGTGTGTGCATACCCCAAATCGCAACAAGATAGAGAAGTAGGAGAAAAGGGAACGTGGCATGACCATGGCCCACTGGGGGAAGGGAGGAGGACTTTCTCCCTCGCTCTGTCTCTCTCTCTGTTGAGTATACACATGCTCTGGCAATTAGAAAGCAAAAGAAAAATTTCAGAGTTGTTATAATCTGTCACCTAAAATGCCCCATTTTCAACAACAAAAACTTTAGGAGACAAACAAAGAAACAAAAAAAGCAACAAAATATACAAACTGCCTTTGAGAGGGGTACAGAGGATGTACAAAGCAGACTTTAAAGCAGCTATTATAAATATATAAGGGTGTCTCAAAAAGTTTGTGAAATAAAATTACAAGTTTATCAGCCCAGCCTAGTAGCTCAGTGACTAGCAAACTGAACCACAGCTGGAAGCCCCATTAGCTGACTAAGATTTGCCTCCCAGCTCAGTTGACCTGGAACACATTAGGGGCATACACATGAATGCCCATGATCCTGAGGAGCAGGAGGACTGGGGAAAGAAGATCTTGGCCTGACAGTCCTCTGTGAAGGGTGCTCCTCTCTTTATCTCTCTTACACTCTCTCACTTTCTCTCATGTGCACACACAGTCTTTATCATGACTAACATAACTGAAACTTTTTTTAGGAAGTGCAAGTTTAGGGACCAGTAGATAACATAATGGTTACATTGCTGGACTCCCAAGCAGTCCACCATGGTTAGAGTCTTGGACCCAGTGGCTTAAACTTCATGTCAGATGCATGTGTGTGTGTGTCCAAGATCCCAAGAGGAGAATGAAGGAGAAGGTTCTGCAGTGTGGCCATTCCCTTGGGGGAGGGGGGTGATTTCTTGCTTTCTGTCTCTGTCTCTCTGGTGAGTGCACATACCCTATAGCAAAAATCTCTCTCTAAAAAAAAAAAAGAAAGAAAGAAAAAGTGTAAGTTTATTTGGGCATAAAACAATTTCAAGTCCATGCATAGTTTTTTCATAATACACATTTTCCATAGATTTTTTTGAAGCACTTCATATTCAAAGAATTAAAAGAACCTAAAGAATAAAGGAAAGTATGATGGTAATGACTGCCCAAATAGAAAATATCAATAAAGAGATTAGAGGGATTTTTAAAATTATTTGTTCGTTTTAAAGAACCAAATGGAAATTCTGAAATTGAAAGGTACAAGAAATGAAATGAAAAAAAATATGTCTCATGGAAGTTTCAAGTAGAAGGGAGAATAAGTAAACTTGAAGTAAAATTAATAGAGGGTATCTATTCTGAACAATGAAACTAAAAGGAATAACAAAAATTTATTCTCTCTTCTCAATTTTTAAAATTTCAAAAAAAATCACCATAAAATTACATCATTGGACTTTATACAGATGTAATATGTACAACAGACAAGTGAGGAGAGAATGAGAAAAAAACAAAGAAAAAAAAAAAAAGAAATGATATCAGCTGGTAACTCAATGCCATGGGAAGAAATGAAAAATACTGGAAATGGCCAATAAGTAGGTTAATATGAAATAACTCTATAAGCAACTTTTTTCTTTTTTTTTTTTACCTTCTTCAAAAGACATAGGTTATATAAAGCAGTGATTATAACACTGTATTGTCGGGTTGATGACATAGACAAATGCAATATGTATGACAATAGCACGAAGCAGGAGAGGAGATGGAAGTATACAGGAGTGGAGTTCCTATATTTAACTGGAAATAAATTAGTATTAATTTGAAGTAAATTCCAATAAACTAGGCCATACACTGTAATCCCTAGAGCAGCCACTAAGAAAATATCTAAAAAAAGAAATAGATACAAAAGTAATCAGATAAGAGCACGGTGGTAACACAACTGGATCCACATGGGAAAGGTCCTGGCTGGTGTTCAAGACCTCCCTGTAAACGCTATGTATATCCACGGACCTGTGATCCAGGCTAGCTGAGGCTGGGGCTCACAGTATGGAGACCCTAACAGAAGACTGCTTACCTAGCTGACCTCCTCCCTCTCTCTTTTTGTCTCTCTCATGGAAGAAATAAATAAACTTAAAAAAATAAAATCACTCGAGTATAAAACAGTCCTCGATGATTAAAGAATTATCCCACGATTCCTTAAGAGGCTGGCATTATAAATAATAACCAGGGAACAGAAGGTCGGCATGGCTACCACACATAATCCATGCTTAGAAAGACTTTCCAGGGATGGTTTTGAGCTACTACAACGAGTAACCCACCCCGACACTTACCCATCTTCTTGATGTACCAGTTCTTTCCACCTTGAGACCTGTTCCAGTACAGGGCCCCCACTGAGCTCACCAAGGCCATAACCAAGAGGATGCCAAACAGCACCAAGATCTGCACGTTGGTCACTTTCTCCACATTTGATCTCTTGAGAGGGGCTTTTGTTGAATTCTGTACAACAACACTGAAAGTCAGTAAAGGTCACAGAACAGACTTGGGGCAAGGAGTTGAGAGAAAAAGGGTAAGACAACATGGTGGTCAGATGACCAAATGCAACAACTAAAATGTTTTAACAGATGCTTTGGCTTTTTTTTTTTTTTTTTTTTTTTTTTTTAATGGTTAATTCCAGGGGACAGACACGGGAAAGA